CCACTTTGCCTATGGGGGTGTGTCAGAACAGTATAGCTTATGCTTTTGTGTAGGCTGTAGTCGGGTAGCCCATATGGGGTACAACCCAATTAGGGTTAGTACTTGTACCCAACTCTTTCATAGTGCATTCATCCTCGTTCTAGTTTTCTTAGCTTCTTGGGTTGACGACCAGGCTACGCAGCGGTCGTCATAGGGTTACACCTTCAGCCTTGGTTCCGGCTCTGTTTCGTGGCGGTCTACTCGCTCGTCTTCTGTTCTCGGCTCCAGCTGTGAGCTGAGATCTACGCGGGGGCCATGGCTGCACAGGAGCTACGCTGGCTCACCTACCTGCTGACTGACCTAGGAGAGCCGCCTCCTTCTCCTCCAGTTCTATACGTAGACAACAAGGTCATGTTGGCCTTGTGTCGGAAGCACAGACTGGAGCACAGAACGAAGCACATTGCTCTTCGCTACTTCCTTGCTCGTGAGCTGCAGCAGCGTGATCAGCTGCGCCTTGCTTACGTGGCCTCTGAGGCCAACACTGCTGATATCTTTACCGAGGCACTTCCGCCTTGTGGTCATCAGCGTTTCTGTACGATGCTAGGTCTTGTGCCTACTTGGCCTCACTTGCTCACTTCTTGACCTTGCTTGTACTGTGATCTTTCTATACCTGCACTTGCTTGTTTACCTCTATATATGATCTTGCATGTGAGCTGGCCTTCTGGCCTTGAACTTGTGCTCGGAATGTGTGGTGACGTTGTGATCCACCCTGAGCTTGCTTTGCTTTGCTTGACTGGTCTTGTGACCTCTTGTTCTCCCCCACTTTGCCTATGGGGGTGTGTCAAACTTATATGCTATAGTCTGTGTAGGCTGTAGTGGGGTAAACAATATGGGGTACAACTCTTTCAGGTTTTCCTACTTGTACCCACCTGCTTGCTAGTTCATTCATTCCTCATTTCTTCACACGTGCTAGAGGCGACACGTTGCAGGTTGATGGTGATGTGCACTGTTAGTGCGCTTTGGGGGTGGGCTACTCGCAAGCGCACTGCTGGCGAGCTGCTGCTAGCGCGTGCTTGCAGCAAGCGGCTGGCGAGGCGTAAGCAGCGCATTGCTAGTGCGTGCTGTGGTAGGGTACGCTGACGGTTGGTTGGCTCGCGTATGTGCTGGCTAGCAGCGTGCGCTGGCAGATGGCTGGCTGGGGCACGTGCAATGGCAATAGGCTGACCGCAACGGGCTGGTGTGCGCTGCTGCTAGTAAGTGCGCGCCGGCGGGCGTGCGCTGCTAACGCGCTGGCGAGCGAGCGCTAGCAAGCGTGTTGGTGCACATACGCTGGCTGTTGGCGTGCACGCTGCTGGCGCTACGCATGGCTGGCGGCCTACGCGCTGCTGGAGCGCGCGATTCTGGTCGCCTGCGTGCTGCTGGCGGCCTACGTGCTGTTGGCGTCTACACAGTGCTGGCGTGCAGGTTGCTGGCGCGTGTTGACGGCCTACGTGTTACTGTTGCGTGCATTGCTGGCGCGTTTGCTACTAGCGTACATGCTGGCAGCCAAGGGGCTGGCTGGCTCCCACGGGCGGGCTGGTGATTAGGAGGCCGGCTAACCGACTAGGTATAGTAGGTGGCGGGCAAGGCTTTGGTAGGACGCGCATAGCGGAAGTGGGGGTCCTAAGCTCCTAGATACCATATCAAAAGAAGATGAACTAAATGTAAATCATAGTACAAAGACCTTACCATAAGCCAGGCTACCAAAGCGCATATGTACAAACACCTAAGTAACAAGTACACATTGACAGCAGACCTGCTGTCGCGTTCTCCCTTTCTGGTAGGACAGTATGGGCGTTCTAAAGGTGTGACTACGAGAGCGTGGGAGCATGAGAAGACGGGTTATTACGCACCACCGCTGGCGCGCAATCAGGGCATGCAGATCGCCCCTCTAATAAGAGAAGTGGGGGTGATTTTGTGGACGTTTTCGGCGATGGTTGCGACAGCAGAGGGACGTGCACTTAGGACTAGCCGTGTAGCGTGGGGCCTGTCAGGAGGATGAGAGTGCGTTTTCGGCTTGTCTTTTAGTTTTCGTGATGGTGCTCGTCGGGGTGGCGGTTCAACGGGCTTAAGCCCGTGTGATCTTGCTCTGTGCAGCGTCTTCCACGGGGGGAACGGACGTTGATCTGGTGGACATGGAGGGGGACGACGTTGAGGTGGAGGTGGATGAATGATGAATGCACATGATCAGGCCCTCAGATTGGTTTGAGGGTATGCTGATGGATTAGCGTGCCCCGGCCAACGAGGTGTCCAAATCAGCGTTCACGGTTTTTTTTATACTGATTTTGCCAGTGTAAAAATCATAAGTAAACTGAACCAACTGTGTAATAACAAAAAACTATAGCTGAAACTGTCAGAATCCCAACCACTAGACCATTGGGATAAAAGGGCTTGTTAAGTAGCGGGTCAGAGTGCGCCCATAACTCCCCAGGCAAACGCGCCTGTAAACCCCCGTAGGATCAATCGGGCATCCACAGTGCAGATCTACTGACACCTCCCCACACTGGGAGGCCCAGATCTGAGCACAGCGGCAACGGCCTACATGTGCATACACCGGGATTCGAACCCGATGCCACTCTGACACCATGTCAGAATCCCAGTCACTAGACCATTGGGATAGAAGGGCTTGTTTCAGCAGCGGGTCAGTGCGTCCATAACCCCCCAGGCGAACGCGCCTGTAACCCTCTCCAGGATCAATCAGGCATCCACAGTGCAGATCTACTGCCACCCCCCCACACTAGGAGGCCCAGGACTAAGCACAGCGGCTTCGGCCTACATGTGCATACACCGGGAATCGAACCCGAGACGGCTCTGATACCATGTCAGAATCCCAACCACTAGACCATTGGGATAAAAGGGCTTGTTTCAGTAGCGGGTCAGTGCGCCCATAACCCCCAGGCAAACGCGTCTGTAACCCCCCCTAGGATCGATCGGGGATCTCACAGTGTAGCTCTACTGACAGAAACCCCAGTACAAGGTGTGTGGTGTTGTTGTGATAGGTTCCAGCGAGGCAAAACATTTCGGCGCGCACCTGATATCTATGCAGTGCATGGGAAAAAATGCCAAGTGTGTGGGTGGGGTCCCAGGAATCACGGGAAGGTACAGATCGTACACGCGTACCCTATCATCCCCCCCCCCCCACGCGGTCAACTCCGTTTCAGTGACTCACGTCACTATACTGATTCGTCAGTGTTACTCGTACAGAAACATGCAAAATAGTCAGTGTGACAAGGTAGGTTATACTGAAATTTCAGTGCAAAATTGAAGCATATGCTGAATTTTCAGGGAAAACGAAAATCACAGCTACAAAATCAGCGTAATCAGCGTGTTTTACGATGATATATGAGGGACTGCACATGATGGATGTACGGATATGAATGAGAGGGGGAGATTTGGTGTGCGTTGGTGAGCATAATTTCTTACTGATTGTCTGATCTGATGGTAGCAATGATTGGAGTAAAATTTAGGGGGATATTTCGTCAATGCGGGAACTTAGTGTGCAGGCTATGTCAGTAGATCTGCACTGTGGATGCTCGATTGATCCTACGGGGGGTTACAGGCGCGTTTGCCTGGGGGGTTATGGGCGCACTCTGACCCGCTACTTAATAAGCCCTTTTATCCCAGTGGTCTAGTGGCTGGGATTCTGAGATGGTATCAGAGCGAAGGTCTCGGGTTCGAATCCTGGTGTATGCACTTCGGGCATCCCAGTGCGGGGGGGTGTCAGTAGATCTGCACTGTGGATGCCCGATTGATCCTACGGGGGGTTACAGGCGCGTTTGCCTGGGGGGTTATGGGCGCACTCTGACCCGCTAATGAAACAAGCCCTTCTATCCCAATGGTCTAGTGACTGGGATTCTGACATGGTGTCAAAGTGGTCTCGGGTTCGAATCCCGGTGTATGCACATGTAGGCCGTTGCCGCTGTGCTCAGTCCTGGGCCTCCCAGTGTGGGGGGGTGTCAGTAGATCTGCACTGTGGATGCTCGATTGATCCTACGGGGGGTTACAGGCGCGTTTGCCTGGGGGGTTATGGGCGCACTCTGACCCGCTACTTAATAAGCCCTTTTATCCCAGTGGTCTAGTGGCTGGGATTCTGAGAGGCTATTCTTCCCAAGGATTTGAATTTGTTTGTATGTACTGAGAAGGTTAAAGGAAAATATTTCAAACAAGCTATGAAGTGTAGTCTTTCCAGTGGATAAATTCTGCTCCAATAATGCACGATTGGTCGATAACTCAGTAAGTGACCAGTCAACTCCGCCAATGTTGCACGACTCGTCGTGGACAGCCGACCCTCCACCGCATTGAAATCACGGTTATGGCATCCACAAGTTATATAACCCTTTCTAACCTCGCCAATGATCGAGCCTGCGCAGGTTCGAACGCGTCAACACTCGCAAGAATCTCAAGGCTCTCCAATAACGCCTACAGAGCAACGCCAATGGTTCAGCTCATAAACAAGTGACTTGCAATCCTCCCACCCGCGTCTCCGCTCCGCAACCACCCCACAGAAATGGGCCATGTTGATGCCTTAGGACGCGTTACATGGGATCGAGTAGTAATATCCTCTCCTCCCCCCTGCACCTACCCACCACGACGTCTCAAGGCGCATGGCAGAGTGACGGCACGAACGCCTCACCCATAAGTCAGGTATTAAACCAGCTCGTTATCCCCTGGTCAGCGTACCCTACTAGCTCGAGTGTGCTTACAAGCCTACGCGCCGCGTCTCACGCCAGAATCGTCGATAAGCCTCGGAGACTTGCTTTCCAGCGAATACTGCGCGAGTTCAGGATACCATACCACTCACATTGACGTCTTGCACCATCGTCCTTGCTTACCTTACCGCCTTGCATTTGGCTTTTGAGTCGACTTAAAAGTCAACTCTTGCTCCATTGTCCTTGCTTACCTTAGCGCCTTGCATTTATCCGCTTGTCGCGAATACCTTCTGATTCGGAAGGTATTGATTCGGAAATACGGTCAGCGGCACAATGAGTACCGCCCATCGCCTCCTCCTCGCCCTGTTCCTCCTAACTGCCACGTGTCAATGCCTCTCTGTCCGATGTAAGTGTGGGCCGCATAAGCTTGACCCATAGATCACCATACTGAACCGCATTCTATCTTGACGCCCTGCGCAGGTAGCACGGGAGAGTATCATTCGTCATCTGACCTTCACCCCGTGTACGATCCGTGTCCTTTCACCCCGCCCACAGATGTCCGCCCTAGTAATGCGCCGAGCGGCAGTGGTGGAAGCGGCGGCAACGCCGGTGACGGTGGCAGCGGTCTCTATATCGTGCGCCTTCGCTCCGCGCCCCCCCTCGCCGCGTATCGCGGAGCCGTCGCCCGCTTTCCCGGCGGCTGGGCGGACGACAACGATGACGACGAGAATAACGACAGCGCTGCCCGCCCAGCAGGTCTGATGGCGACAGCGAAGGCGGTGGCCGCAGCGGTGAAGGCAACGGCTGGCAGAATTCCGCGGCGCGCGCGACTCTCCTTGAAGAACCCGCAGATTAAGGCGTACGCGCAGATGCTCGAGTCGCAGCAGACGCGGATCGCGTCGGAAGTCGGTGTGGCGTGGAACAAGATGGTTCACAGGTGCGACTCGCTCTGCCTGTCAGGTGCGACTCGCTCTGCCTGTCACTGGATCCTGTCGAATTCAAACACACGTTGGGAGACTGTCACCTGTGAGACTCTCATTAAGAATAGTCTCTGATATACACGTGAGGTCGGTCAAGGTTCAGCCTCTTACCAGACCAATGCAGTGAGATCTGCAGTGAAAACCAGTGGCATACTGTACAGGTGAGGAGCTGGCGTGGAGACTGGCCTGTGATACTCAAGTAGGATGAGAATTTCAAGCTTGCTTCCTAACTCCCAGCCGCACGGGAATGGGTGCGAGCTGAATATATAGACCCAGCTTACTGACCCAGCTCATACTCTCACCGCACCAAACGCCTCTTTTCTCTCTCATCTCTGGTATCTCCTCCCCGCATGCCGCAACTACAAGTATGTGACCACACGTCCACACGTTCCTCCTCTCCGCCCCTTCCCCCTTCCCCCCCACCCTTGTTGCCCCGCCTTCCCTCCCAGCCAGGCAGCTGGGAGTAGCCAGCTGGGAGTAGCCAGCTGGGGAGTAGCCAATGTGCATCCCTCTAACCCTCACATTCCCTTGTTCCCACGCCTTCCCTTCCGCCCCGCCCCTGCTCCCCACTCACCCTTCCCTCACCCCTGTTCCCTACCCCTGTCCCCTCCCTTCCTATCCCCCGCAGCTACAAGCGAATATCACAACAGGGCGACAGAACACCCTTCCCTTCCCTTCCCTCCTCCCCCCACCCCCCGCAGCTACAAGCGAATCTCACAACAGGGCGACAGAACACCCTTCCCTTCCCTTCCCTCCTCCCCCCACCCCCCGCAGCTACAAGCGAATCTCACAACAGGGCGACAGAACACCCTTCCCTTCCCTTCCCTCCTCCCCCCACCCCCCGCAGCTACAAGCTAATCTCACAACAGGGTGACAGAACACCCTTCCCTTCCCTTCCCTCCTCCCCCCACCCCCCGCAGCTACAAGCGAATCTCACAACAGGGTGACAGAACACCCTTCCCTTCCCTTCCCTCCTCCGCCCACCCCCCGCAGCTACAAGCGAATCTCACAACAGGGTGACAGAACACCCTTCCCTTCCCTTCCCTCCTCCCCCCACCCCCCGCAGCTACAAGCGAATCTCACAACAGGGCGACAGAGCACCCTTCCCTTCCCTTCCCTCCTCCCCCCACCCCCCGCAGCTACAAGCACACGTCCAACAGCTTTTGCGATGCTCACGCCGGCGGGCCAGCTCATGTGCGCACCTTTGTCCCTCCACCTTCCCCCCTCCACCTTCTCCCCTCCCACTTCCCCCCCTCCCCCTGCCCCTCCCTCACCCCCCCAGCTACAAGCACACGTCCAACGGCTTCTCCGCCATGTTCACGCCGGGGAAGCTTTGGCGGCTGAAGCGCCACCCTGCCGTGGCGTCCGTGCGGCGGAGCACACTCAAGCGCCTCCTCACCACCGACTCGCCCACCTTCCTCGTAATGAACACCACATCCTCTGGCACCACCAGGTCGCTCTGGCCCGCGAATGGCGGGCAGGCGAAGGCGGGAGACGGCATGGTGATTGCGATTGTGGACTCGGGCATCTGGCCGGAACACCCGTCGTTCAGCGACAAAGGGTTCTCCTCGTCGCGGCCTGCTGGGTGGTCGGGGAAGTGCGACGCGACGGGGGAGTTCAAGTGCAACAATAAGGTCATTGGAGCGCGCGCGTTCTACCAGGGGTATAGAGCGCCCATGGGTTGGATCTGTCCGCTGATTGGCTGTCGCCCCGTGACGCCTACGGTCACGGCACGTGGTGCGCGGGGTGAGTCGGCTCGCAGACATTCACAGTGCCGCTCGCCTTGCCGCCTGCCATGTTACAGGTGTCTGCCCACCGCTCTACACTCCTCTCCCCGTGCTGCAAGTCTCCCCTATTTGTTCGTAACCGTAACACCATATATCCTCCTCTCATGTGCCCCAATCCATCCCCTCCCCCATGCGTTCCCCCTCCCCTCCCCCCTTACCCTCCACACCACACACCTCCCACCACACGCAGAGCGGCAGCGGGAAACAGTGGAGTGCCCATGGCGGGCGGCACGGCGAGCGGCATGGCGCCAGCAGCGCGCCTCGTGGCGTACAAGGTCTTGTGGTCGTCCAGCTGGGGTGGAGACAGTCGGGCGGAGGAGGCGGGCATCATCGCAGCCGTCAATCAGGGCGTGGCGGACGGCGTGGATGTGATCTCGCTCTCCCTGGGCGTCGTGAACCCCACCGACACCTACTTTGACAACATCGCCTTCCTCAACGCCAACCTGGTAAGTCCTTCTCCCCTCCCTGATCCCCTGTTTTCTCTCCTTGGCTCTCCCGACCTCTTTTCACATCCCACCTACTTCGACGACATCGCCTTCCTCAACGCCAACCTGGTGCGCCCCTCGCCTCTTCTTGAACACTTCACCCTCCCCTGTGCCGCTCTCCCCTGTGCCGCTTTAGCTTTTGAGGATTCCAACTCGCTGCTCCCCTTCCTGTCTTCCTTCTGTTACCCTCCCTGATCCTCCCTGTGCCATTCTCTCATGTGCCATTCTCCCCTGTGCCATTCTCCCCTGTGCCATTCTCCCCTGTGCCATTCTCCCCTGTGCCATTCTCCCCTGTGCCATTCTCCCCTGTACCATTCTCCCCTGTGCCATTCTCCCCTGTGCCATTCTCCCCTGTGCCATTCTCCCCTGTGCCATTCTCCCCTGTGCCATTCTCCCCTGTGCCATTCTCCCCTGTGCCATTCTCCCCTGTGCCATTCTCCCATGTGCACCTCTCGCCTTTGAGAAATCACTTCTTTGCACTGGCTCTCTCGCTTTTGTTGATTTCCCTCAGCTCCCCTCCCTCCTCACATCCCTACTCCCCTCCCTCCTCCCCTCCCTCCTCCCGTCCCTCCTCTCCTCCCTTCTCCCCTCCCTACTCCCCTCCCTCCTCCCCTCCCTCCTCCCCTCCCTACTCCTCCCTCCACCCCTCCCTACTGACCTCCCTTCTCCCCTCGCTACTCTCCTCCTTCCTCCCTCCCCTACTCCCCTCGCTTCTCCCCTCCCTACTCCCTTCTCTGCTCCCCAATTGTCTCTCTGCCATCACGTGCTGCCATCACAATGCCTGCTTATCTCACCTCCTCTCCTCTCCTCTCCTCTCCTCTCCTCTCCTCTCCTATCCTCTCCTCTCCTCTCCTCTCCTCTCCTCTCCTCTCCTCCCCTATCCTCTCCTATCCTCTCCTATCCTCTCCTCTCCTATCCTCTCCTATCCTATCCTCTCATATCCTCTCCTCTCCTCTCCTCTCCTCTCCTCTCCTCTCCTCTCCTCTCCTCTCCTTTCTCCTCTCCTCTCCTATCCTTTCGTCCCAATGTCCAGGCTGGGGTGGTCGTGACCTTTGCTGGGGGCAACTCGGGCAGCCCTGGGTTTGCCACTCGCACGATCGACAACTACGCACCCTTCTACCTCACAGTCGGCGCCAGGTGAGGCCACTGCCGCTGAGAGAAACCCAAGTGAGCAGTTTACCTGAGCGGCAGTTGGCTCACCCAAGTGAGCATGTTCCCTTGTTCCTAGTGCCTCCATCGCCACACATTCATCTCATTTTGAGTTGGTGTTAGAAAGAACACAGGCTGGTATGTTAGCATTGCTTTCATCCTGCCACCCCCTTATCTCCCCGCATTACCACCATGTTCCCCCCATATCCCCCCACCCCAACCTCCTCCCACGGTCTCCCCAACCTCCCCGCGTATCCTCCTGGCCAATTCCCCCTAAACGTCCCCGCATCTCCCTGCACCACTCCCCACTCCTCCCCACTCCTCCCTACTCCCCGCTCCTCCCTATTCCTCCCCACTCCTCCCCACTCCTCCCTATTCCTCCCCTCTCCTCCCCACTCCTCCCCACTCCTCTCTATTCCTCCCCTCTCCTCCCCACTCCTCCCCACTCCTCCCTATTCCTCCCCTCTCCTCCCCACTCCTCCCCACTCCTCCCTATTCCTCCCCACTCCTCCCCTCTCCTCCCCACTCCTCCCCTCTCCTCCCCACTCCTCCCCACTCCTCCCCACTCCTCCCTATTCCTCCCCACTCCTCCCCAATCCTCCTTATTCCTCCCCTCTCCTCCCCACTCCTCCCCACTCCTCCCCACTCCTCCCTATTCCTCCCCTCTCCTCCCCAATTCTCCCACAGCACCATCGCCCAGAGCGGCATCATTCTCGCCAGCTCAGCAGGTGCAGCCGAATCAGCATCATCGACCAATCAGACGTCACCCTCCGCCACACCATCATCGACCAATCAGACGTCACCCTCCGCCACACCATCATCGACCAATCAGACGTCACCCTCCGCCACACCATCATCCACCAATCAGACGTCACCCGCCGCCACACCCGCCGCCACACCCTCACCCGGCGAATCCGCCCCAAAGGTCGCCGATTTCTCCTCCACGGGCCCCCTCGCCTTCCCGACTGCCGGCCCCAGCAACGGCCATGCGAACGACTGCATCTTAAAGCCCGACATTCTCGGCCCGGGAGTGGATCTCTACGCTGCTGCACCAGGCACCCGCGTGGGAAACAAGGGCGGGTCCAATCAGGTCTCTGGAATTTCCATGGCGACGCCTCACCTGGCGGGGATCGCTGCGCTGGTGATGCAGAAGTACCCTTCTTGGAGCCCCGCGCAGGTCATGTCTGCAATCATGACCACCGCCACCACCAAGGATTTCAACGGCGCTGCCATCTCTAGTAAACGCACCAAGATAGCCACCACGCCGTGGGATATGGGCAACGGGCATGTGTTCCCACCCAAGGCTCTCGACCCTGGGCTCACATTTGACGCTCAGAAGAGCGAGTATCTGAATTTTCTGGCCGGGCTGGACATGAAGAGGACCTGGGCAGAGTACCCAAAAGAAAAGCTCACTGCTGTGCCGCCTAGAGATCTCAACCGCCCCACCATTTCAGTGGCGCCCCTCAAAGGCTCGATCACAGTCACACGCACGGTCACCAGTGTGCCTGACTCTGCCTCCACTTACACTGCCAAGGTTGAGAAGCCTCAAGGGGTGGAGGTGACTGTGAAGCCCAGCAGATTCACCATCTCGCCTGGTAAGAAGGTCCGCTTTGTGGTGACCTTCAAGGTTACTCAGGCCTCGGAGGACTTTCAGTATGGGAGCCTCACTTGGGTGGATGAGAAGGGTCACTCTGTTCGGTCGGCGATTGCAGTCAAGCCTGTCGGGAAGTGAGCGAGCAGCACAGTTGGAGTGAAATAGTTCCCGCAATAAGAGTTGGACCTTGCTCAATGGAAAAGCAGGATATGCGGCACTGAATGACTCTGTTAGTTGTCCGAATGTTGTACTGTAAAAATACATCATTATGCTCTGTGTTGAATTGTTATTTGCATATTATAACTGCCTACTGTTTTCTAGTATACTTGTTAGTTACCGTATTAGCTACAACTGCTGGTGGTGTACGTTTTTTAGAATAGAGTAGCGGATTGTTGAGGTTAGATGAAGGGGGGGAGTACAAGCAAAGAGGGAATCTTAAGACCACAACCAGTAAATACTAATTTAAAATAGTTCTACACAAGCTAAGTGAGGGGGCTTTATAATGATTAAGACAAGCAAGTGGTCACAAGACCAATCAAGAGAAGGAACACATCAAGCTCAATGTGGATCACGAAGTCACCATACAGTCTGAGCACAAGCAAAGGGCCACAGGGCCAGTTCAAGAATTCACATAAATTAAAAAAGTACAGCAAGAATCAAGAGGCAAGACAACAGTAGCCCAGGGCCTACGTTAACAAGGCCTAGCTGCAAACAAAACTTGTGGTGGTCACTGGGCGGAAGGGCCTTGGTGAAGATGTCAGCAGTGCTAGCCACTGAGGCCACGAAGTCCAAGCGTGCCTTGCCGCGTCGCTGCAACTCTTGCAGGAGAAAATACATCACCTCGATATGCTTCACTCTGCTCTCTAGTCGAGGAGGCGAGGGGAGGGGGTACGGGAGGTGTTCAACAGTTCTAGCACATGATGACGCCACTTTCAGCTGCAATGGGCCTTCCCATCCACCAAATTCTGGTTGCTCGGCAAGTGTGTTTGCGGTGTAGAGTTTAAGGACCCGTCAGGTCCTCACTATGCAAGCACCATTATGTCCTGTCGCGTGTTCATGATGCAATGAAGCTTGTAGTCGCTAAGATAGCCAAGGCGTCGGGTGAGGTGGTTACAATCGAGGATGACACGTTTCCGCCGAGGCCTGAGGAAGCGAGTGGACATGGCGGATAGGAGACCGATGGATGGAGAAGCATATGCGCACGAGGTGAGCGTCGTGAATCTGGTTCGTCTACTGGTGCAATAGCATGGGTAGTGTGGGTGGAATATTGGTTTTGCTGCCAAGGAGTGAGAGAAGAGGAAAGCGGTGGATTATCATCCTTTTCTGCAGCAGCACAGGGGGGTACGTTTCTAACTGCTGATTCTTGAGATATGGGGTTGCTTGAGGGGAAGCTTTTGGCAGTGGTTACAACAGCAGGGGGCTATCAATCTAAAAATGGCTCTTAACAAAGGTGTGGGAAGGGGCAACCGCTCGGGGTTCTCAGTGTCAAATTATAATATTGTGTAGGCTATAGTGGGATAGTCTATATGGGGTACACATTTCTAGGGTTGCATATTTGTATCACTCCCATTCCTTAGTCAATTCATTCTCGTTCTACTTTCCTCATGGTATCAGAGCAGGTTCCCCCTTGGGAACTGTGCCTAGGGCCCACCACATCGAGTTTCATTTTTTTTCTCCTGCCCGAAGCGCGCTCCGCCCGAGTCGCGCTCCGGGCTCTCACCTCGTCGAGCCGCCCTAGCGGCCCCTACGCCCTAGCGGCCCTATCGCCCTAGCGGCCCCTTCCCCTAGCGGCCCCGCCGCCCGTCGATTCGGCCCCGCCGCCCTTTAGTGCGGCCCCGCCGCCCGTCTCAGCGGCCCCGCCGCCCTTCTCAGCGGGCCCCGCCCTACTTAGCGGCCCCACCGCCCGTCGCTGCGGCCCCGCCCTTCTCAGCGGCCCCGTCGCCCCGCATTGCGGCCCCGCCGCCCGTCTCCGCGGCCCCGCCGCCCGTCGCTGCGGCCCCGCCCTTCTCGGCGGCCCCCTCGCCCCACATTGCGGCCCCGCCACCCATCTCAGCGGCCCCGCCGCCCTTCGCTGCAGCCCCGCTGCCTCCCTCGCTGCGGCCCCGCCGCCCTACTCAGCGGCCCCGCCGCCCTTCTACTCAGCGGCCCCGCCGCTCTACTCAGCGGCCCCGCCGCCCTACTCAGCGGCCCCGCCGCCCTAATCAACGGCCCCGCCGCCCTTCTATTGCTGCCCCGCCGCCCTACTCAGCGGCCCCGCCGCCCTTCCGCAGCGGCCCCGCCGCCCTTCTCAGCGGCCCCGCCGCCCTACTCAGCGGCCCCGCCGCCCTTCAACTGCGGCCCCGCCGCCCTTCTCAGCGGCCCCGCCGCCCCTCGCACAAGCGGCCGCCCTACACCGCCCGCGCCGCCCGAGCCGCCCGAACCGCCCGAGCCGCCCAAGCCGCCCGACCTGCCCGAGCTGCCCGAGCCGCCCGAGCCGCCCGACTCTCCTGAGCCGCCCGAGCCGCCCGACCAGCCCGAGCCGCGCGAGCCGCCCGAGACGCCCGAGCCGTCCGAGCCGCCTGAGCCGCACGAGCCGCCTGAGGAGCCGAGCCGCTGGCACCACGGAGCCGCAGTTGCTGCTGAGCCTTCCGAGCAGCCGTGTTGCCGTGTTGCTGTACTGCTGAGCTGCCCGACCCGCCCTTTCCGGTGAGAGCAGCGCTTCTGTCACTGCACTGCCCCTGTCCTACAGTTGGTACTGCTAGTCTACTGCTGTCATGGCTACCCCCAGTGTTCTCGCTTTTCACGCTGAGGGTCGAGCCATTGACTTTGAGGTTTGGGTAGATGACCTGCAGCTTTTCCTACAGTGCGATAGGGCAGACGGTCTCTCCCTCTTTGACCTCACCTCAGGCGCCTCTCCTGCCTCTGCTGCTGATGCTGACCCCACTGTTCGCTCCAAGTGGGCCACGCGCGATGCTGCTGCACGTCTTGCTGTGCGTCGCCACCTGCCTACCACTGAGCGCGCGCACTTTAGTCAGTACAAGAGTGCTCAGACCTTATACGACGCTGTAGTTGCGCGCTACTCTTCCCCTGCCACTGCTGCACTAAGCCGCCTCATGCTACCGTACCTCTTCCCTGACCTTGCTGCCTTTCCCACAGTCGCCGACCTTATTACGCACCTCCGCACTAGTGACACTAGCTACCGCGCCGCACTTCCTGCTGAGTTCTGCGCCAAGAACCCCCCCCCCCCCATGTACATCACTCTCTATTATATAGTCACTCGCCTCCCTGACTCCCTTCGCGTAGTCAGGGACCACTTCCTCTCAGTCTGTCCCACCACTCTCACTGTTGACCTCCTAGAGAAGGCCCTCCTAGCAGCGGAGAAGAGCATAGTTGCTGTAGGAGCCTCTCGTGGTGACCCTCGCACCCCCATCTTTGAGGGGTGTTCCCCTTCCCCCCTGTTGCCCTCTGTTGCCTCTGCTGCTGCGGCCGACCTCGTTGGTCTTGAGTCGGTCGGTGCGGCGTCTGCCCCTAGCGGGAGACGCCGCTCTGGCAAGGGCAAGGGGGGCAAGGGCGCGGGTGGAGCTAGCGGGGGTGGTGGAGGTGGCGGTGGAGGCGGTGGAGGGAGTGGGGGTGGCGGTGGGAGTGGTGGCGGGGGTGGAGGTGGTGGTGGCAGCAGCGGAGGCGGAGGCGGCGGAGGCGGTAGCAGTGGGAGCGGAGGCGGCGGTGGTGGCGGAGGTGGAGGCGGCGTTGGCGGAGAAGGTGGAGCTGGTCGGGGTGGTGCTTCGCAGCGGAGTGGCTCCGGTGGTGGTCAGCGCCAGCAGCAGCAGCAGCACCAGCAGCAGCAGCGTTCTCGGGACATCCCCCCTCCTCAGCAGCTCCGTGAGTGGTACACGCAGCGTCAGCGTGGTGGGGGTTTTGGTCCGTGCACCTACGTCCTTCGCTCCGGCGACCGCGCGGGTGAGCAGTGTGGGGGTGCTCTCCCCACCCAGCGCTGCTTTGGCCGCCTGACAGACGCTTGGCGTCAACAGTTCCCGGAGGCTAGTGAGATCCTCCGCTGGGGAGAGCTTTCTAGGGCAGGTGTAGCTATCTATGATCTTGACTTTGATGCTATCCTTGCTGCCATGTATGCTGTGACTATTAGTGATGAGGGTGACTGTTACCGGTGTTTCCCGCCCGACCCGGGCATTGGTACTTCTGCGCTAGGTGCCAATGAGGCTGCTGCTCTAGGTGCCAGCGAGTCTGCGCCCTTAGGTGCTGGTGAGGGTGCGCTCTCAGGTACCGCGTCGGCTTCGGCCTCCCTCACCTTCACACTTGACTCAGGGGCTTCTTGTTCCTTCTTTGGAGACCGCACCACACTCACGCCGCTTGGCCGGCCGGTTGCAGTCTCCCGGGCAGACCCCTCTGGGGGTCCTGTCCTCTCTCACTTCTCCACTGTCCTCTCGTGTCCGGCTGCCCCCTCTTGCACCTTCTTTGGTCTTTACCTCCCCTCGTTCTCGACGAACTTGGTGAGTGGTGCTGACCTGCAGGATGCGGGGGTTCACCAGTTTTCTCCTGCGAGTCAGCGGGTGACCCACTGCTCGGACGCCCGCATGGGCCGGCACCTGGCCACGTTTTCGCGTCGGCCGGGGTCGAGTCTCTACACCCTGACCACTGGGTCCCCTCCTGTCCTTGCGTCTGGCTAGGTAGCTGCGTCGGGTCAGGTGTTTGCTGCAGCGTCCAGGTCTGGTCCTGAGTCTGCCCCCTGCTCGTGTCGCCTCTTGTCTCACGAGACTCTCCTGTGGCACCACCGTCTTGGTCACCCCTCTCTGCCTCGTCTCCGAGGCATCGCTTCCCGTGTCCTTGTCTCTGGTCTTCCCCGGTCCCTCCCTCCCCTTCCTCCGGGGCCTGGTCCTTCCTGTGTCCCCTGTGTCGAGGGGCGGCTCCGGGCTACCCCTCACTCCTCTCAGTTTCCCCCGATAGAGGCCCCGCTGCAGACGCTTCACATAGACGTGTGGGGCCCGGCCCGCGTCCGTGGACAGGGTCACGAGCGCTACTTCCTGCTGGTGGTTGACGACTACTCGCGTTACACCACAGTCTTCCCCTTGCGCAGCAAGGGTGATGCCACTGAGGTGTTGATCGACTAGATCCGCGCAGCTCGTCTCCAGCTCAGGCAGAGCTTC